GCTGATTTGCCTGCCTTGCTCTGCTGCTTCCACTCCCACCCTAAGCATGGTGACCTCCTCAGCAGCAGCCTTTGCCAATGTCCTGCTGTCTCTATTTACTCCCCATTGGGTAAGAGTCTCTTACATACAAGATGACACTTGTTAGGTGCAAATAGTCCTAGTTATGAATTTAGTTTCCGTTGACACTAAGCAAAGAATTATTTCAAAGTTGCGTTAATGCCCAAATTAATAATTCCTAATGCTAAAAGCTCAAGTTTTCACAGTCTTTTCAAACAACTAACAAATGAGTAAGCATTTTTTAATTTTTTAAAAAATTTATTTATTTTTAGTTTTCAACATTCACTTCCACAAGATTATGAGTTCCAAATTTTCTCCCCATCTCATCCCTCCCCTCACCCTAAGATGGCATGCATTCTGTATACCCCTTCCCCTAATCTGCCCTCCCTTCTATGTCTCCCCAAAACCCCTTCTCTTATCTCCTTCCTCTTCTATTTTCCTTTAGGGCAGGATAGATTTCTATACCCCATTTCCTGTACTTCTTATTTCCCAGTTGCATGTGAAAACAATTTTTTAACATGTGTTTTTAAAACTTCGGTTCCAAATTTTCTCCCTTCCTCCCTCCCCACCCACCCTCGTTGAAAAGGCAAGCAACTCGATTCAGGTTATACATGTGTAGTCATGCAAAACACTTCAATAGTAGTCATGTTGTGAAAAACAAAATATATTTCTCTTTATCCTATCCCACCCTCATTTATTCTATTCTCTCTTTTGACCCTGTCCTTCCTCAGAAGTGTTTGCTTCTGATTACCCTCTCCCCCCATCTGCCTTCCCCTCTATCATCTCCTTGCTCTCTTGTCCCCTTCCTCCTCTATTTTCCTGTAGGGTAAGATAGATTTCCATACCCAATTAAGTGTGTATGTTATTCCCTCCTTAAGCCAAATCCTCTGAGAATAAGATTCACTCATTCCCTCTCACCTTCCCCCATTTCTCCTCCACTGTAAAAGCCTTTTCATGTCTGTTTTATGTGAGATAATTTACCCCATTCTACCTCTCCCTTTTTCCTTCTCCTAGTATAAACCTCTCTAACCCCTTAATTTTGTTCTCCAGATATCACTCCTTCATCTTCAACTCACCCTGTACTTTCTATCTATCTATCTATCTATCTATCTATCTATCTATCTATCTACATATAATTTTTTCCCTCCAACTACCGTAATACTGACAAAGGTCTCATGAGTTACAAATATCATCTTTCCATGCAGGAATGTAAACAGTTCAACCTTAATAAGTCCCTTATGATTTCTCTTTCCTGTTTTCTTCTTCACGTTTCATTTGAGTCTTGTATTTGAGAGTCAAATTTTCTATTCAGCTCTGGTCTTTTCATCAAGAATGCTTGAAAGTTCCCTATTTTATTGAATGACCATTTTTTCCCCTGAAGGATTATACTCAGTTTTGCTGGGTAGGTGATACTTGGTAGTAATTCTATCTCCTTTGCCCTCTGGAATATTATATTCCACGCCCTGTGGTCCCTTAATGTAGAAGCTGCTAAATCTTGTGTTATCTTGATTGTGTTTCCACAACACTTGAATTGTTTCTTTCTGGCAGCTTGCAATATTTTCTCCTTGACCTGGGAACTCTGGAATTTGGCTACAATATTCCTAGGAGTTTTCCTTTGGGGATCTCATTCAGGATGTGATTGATAGATTCTTTCCATTTCTATTTTACCCTCTTCTTTCCATTTCTATTTTACCCTCTGGTTCTAGAATATCAGGGCAGGTTTCCTTGATAATTTCTTGAAAGATAATGTCTAGGCTCTTTTTTTGATCATGGCTTTCAGATAGTCCAATAATTTTTAAATTCTCTCTCCTGGATCTATTTTCCAGGTCAATTGTTTTTCCAGTGAAATATTTCACATTGTTTTCTATTTTTTCATTCTTTTGGATTTGTTTTACAGTGTCTTGATTTCTCATAAAGACACTAGCTTCTAATTGCTCCATTCTAATTTTCAAGGAAGTATTTTCTTCAGTAAACTTTTGGGCTTCCTTTTCCATTTGGCCAGTTTTGCTTTTTAGGGCATTCTTCTCCTCATTGGGTTTTTGGACCTCTTTTGCCATTTGGGTTAGGCTATTTTTTAAGGTGTTATTTTCTTGAGTATTTTTCTGGGTCTCCTTTAGCAAGCTGTTGACTTGTTTTTCATGATTTTCTTGCATGACTCTCATTTCTCTTCCCAGTTTTTCCTCTACTTCTCTTACTTGTTACTCAAACTCCTTTTTGAGATCTTCCATGGCCTGGGACTGATTTGTATTTTTCTTGGAGGCTTTGGATGCAGGACCTTTGACTTTGTTGTCTTCTTCTGGTTGTATGTTTTGATCTTCTTTGTTACCAAAGAAAGATTCTATAGTCTGACTTTTTTTGGACCTTTGTTTATTCATGATCCCAGCCAATTACTTAAGTTTTAACTTCTTTGTTAAGGTAGGGGTCTGCTTCCAGTGTGGAGGTTGAACTGTCCCAAGCTGCAGGGGTTTTGTGCAGCTGTTTTCAGAGATATTTCTAGGGACCTGTAAATTTTCAGTTCTTCCAAGGTGGTATGATGTGTCTACTCCTTTCCTGTCCTGTGCCCTGGTCTATAAGTGACCACAAGCACTCTTCTCTGTCTTGGAACTGTGAGGAGGATTTCTTCTACATAGCCACTACAAGCTCCACCATGCCAGCACTCCTCCTCTCCCCATGACCACTGCCTAGAACTGTGACCCAGATCCAAGCAGGGGCAAAGAAAGAGAATCCTGTACTAGCAGGGAGATCTCTGCAATGCCCCTCTAATCAGCCACTTGATTCCCTCTCATTCTGTGGGCCCGAGGCTCTGGAAGTAGCTGCCACCCCAGGGCCGAGCTCAGCAATCATTCATTAAGCATCTGCTATGTGCCCAGGCACTGTGCTAGATGTTGGGAATATGTATACAAAGAATGAAACTATCTGTTCTTGAAAAATGTTTGTATGCTAATGGGGGAAAACAACAAATACATAAAATAAGTATATCCTGGATATCTATAGAGGGAATAATGACAAATTCATATATAGTAGTCAAACTCAAGGTAATTTGGAAGGGAAAGCAATAGCAGTTGGGTGAGCAGGAAAGGCTTCATGTAGAAAGTGATACTTACGTTAAATCTTGAAAGAAGAGAGGGTTCCTATGAAGGAGCAGGAAAGAGATAATAATCAGGCATGGGGGACAGCTAGAACAAAGGCATGGAGATTGGACGCAGAGTGCCTTGGGTAAAGAAGAGAAAGCCAGTTTGGTTGGATTGTGAAGAATGGGAGGGAGGGTAATATTCCATGAGATTGAAAGCCCCTCCTGAAAATAGCCCCATGAGATAGGAAATGAAGGTGTTATCCCTCTTTTACAAACAAGGAAACTGAGGCTTAGAAAAGTTTTGACTTACCATGATTACACAGTTACTAAATGGCAAAGCCGGTACTCAAGACCAGGTCTATAATAAATTCTTTATTAATCTCATCTATTCTCTTATTTCAATGGGCTAGACTATAGATCAAATGAAGAAATTTATGTGGACATGCTTTTAAAAAGTATGGAGTACTACAGAAATGCAGACTTACCGTTAATGTTAATAGTAGTGACAATAATAATTCCTATTTACAGAGTTTAAAAGTTATTTTTTAATGAACAAAAATCATCTTTTCTTACTCCAACTTCCACCTCCATTGAAAAAAAGGATAACAAAATCATTGTAACATATGTGCATAGTCAAACAAAATAAATCAATGTGTTGGCCATGTCTCTATATGTATGTACGCATGTATGTATGTATGTATGTATGTATGTATGATCTCTATCTCTTTCTATGTGTATGTCTCAATCTGTACTTGGAATCTATCACCAGTCTGTCACAAAATGGGTAGCATCGTTTATCATCAGTCCTCTGGAATCATGATTGGTTATTATGTTGAACAGCTTTTTTCAGTCCTTTGAAGTCATTTGTTTTTATAATGTTGTTATTGTATAAATTGCTCTGTTTCTGCTCATTTTATTCTTCATTAGTTTCTACAAGTCTCCTCAGGTTTCTCTGAAATCATCCCTTTCATCCATTTTATAACATAATTTTTCATTAAATTTATATACCATAATTTATTTAGGTATTCCCCAATTGATGGGCATACTCTCTAAGTTTCTCATCCTTTGCCACCACAAAAAGAAATGTTATTAATTTATTTTTCACATACTGGTCCTTTTCTTCTTTCTTTGGCTAAAAGACTATGCACAGCTTAGTGATTTGGGGGATATATTTCCTAATTGCTTTACAGTATGACTGGACCAATTAACAGCTTTTCCAACAGTGCCTGTTTTCCCATAACTCCTCCAGCATTTGTCATATTCCTTTATTGTCAACTTTGCCAATCTGATGGGGGTAAGGGCTACCTTAGAGTTCTCTTAGTTTGCATTTCTCTAAATATTAGTGATTTTGGAGCATATTTTCACAAGGCTATTGATAATTTGGATTTCATTCTTTGAGAGCTGCCTGTTCATATTTCTTGATCATTTGTCACTTGGTGGATGACATAGCCCATTAAGGTTTACAAAGTGCTTTCCTCACAACCATCCTGTCAGGTGGATAGGTGCAGACATTATTATCCCCATTTTACAGAAGAGAAAACTAAGACTCAGAGAGATGAGGCAATATGCCTGTTAGTTACACAGCTAGTAAGTTTCCAGGCTGATATATGATCCATCCCGGCCAGGTCTCTTGGCTTAAGATTTCACTAAACAATCATTATAATTCTGATTAGGCTAAGGCTGTCATAACAAGAAGGTCATGTGATATTCATTTTTGCAGTTTTACTCTTTTTACAGGATTGGTAATAGAACCATTGTGTCATAAAGGCTGACCAACGATAGGCTGGTAAAGCACATGTGAGTAAGTTTGAAGAGGATGTGAATTTGCGCACCTACATGAACTGTTTTCTGTGACTTGCTCCTCACTCAGGTATGCATCGTGCAGAAAAGAGACACAAAGAAAATGTATGCCATGAAATACATGAATAAACAGAAGTGTATTGAGAGGGATGAAGTGCGGAATGTCTTCAGAGAGCTCCAGATCATGCAGGGCCTGGAACACCCTTTCTTAGTCAATTTGTGGTGAGTAAATCTTGTTTTTTCAGCTTTATGATGGCTGCATTATGAATTTCTCATGGAATAAATTCAAATCGCAATCAGTTGAAAGGATTCTTGATGTTATAAGGAAACGCATATTTCCTTTCTGTGATTGGACTTATAAATTGATAATATTTAGAAGACACAGTTTGTACTCAAATATTTAAGCGCAACCAGCTGCCTTGTTTTTTCAGTTTTCACAAAAGTGCTACCAAGAAAAAAAATGAATAGAGGAGACATCTCTTATCCTTCATCCATCTTTGGGAAAGTATATATGTGCAACCTCTGATTTGAGGGCTTTTCTGGTCAACTTATCATTTTTATCTTTATATAGGTATGTGCCTTCCATTGACTCAGAATGTAAAATCTTTAAGAGCAGGAATTATCTTTGGTTCGTTCATTCATTCATTCATTCATTCATTTGTTTATTTATTTTTAGGTCCCTGGTGCCTTGGAAAGACTGTGCCATGCACATAATAGGTGTTTCATCAAAGTTTGTTGGATTGGATTAGATTTGCCAGTTTGACTGCCTTAGGGTAAATTTGGAAGAATAGTGTCCTCAGTGAATACATTAGTCATAAAATAGCCCTGGAAAAGACTTAATTTTTGTGAACTAATGCACTGTATGAAAAGCTCCAAGGGAATAAAAAGTGGAGACATCAAAGGGCAATTTAGCTAGGCAGCTAATCAGACTGATCAGAGGACTAGATCAGAAGTAATCCCTTCCCCCACAATGGCTGGCCTTTTACTAGGCAAGGTTTGTATAGGGAAAGATTACATAAGGAACACATTCTGCCACTTTTCAGTAGTGCCCTGCTTAACTGACTATTTGCCAGACCACTAAATAGGAAAATATGAAGAGAAACAACTTTGTCATATGTGAAAAATATGCCTTATTTCATCCATTCTCTTAATTTCTCCAATTCACCTTCAGACAGAACAGCTCCCCGGACACAGAATCATAGTTTATTGGAATTAGATAGGACCTTAGAGGTCATCTAGTCCAGCCTCTTCTGCTAATAAATGAGGAAAATTGAGACCCACAAAGGTTAGTGACTTGCCCAAGGTCACATAGTTGCTAAGTTGCAGGTTGGGAGGACTTGACACTATATTTGGATTTCAAGTTCAATACTCTTTCACTACATCACAAAGAAAATAATCAGCATGCATGGATGGAACAGTGCCAGTAGGAAGGTAGGAGAGTACCAGGAAACATATTAGAGATGTTATAATTTTGGAAGAAAATTGTGGTAAAAATGTATAAATTGCATATAAGTGGTTGAGTCGGAGTTACAATGCCTTCCATCTGTTTGGCACACAATCAAACACTGAGAATTGGGGGCTACTAAGAGTCGCCCATTCTAAGAAACCTTCAATGGGATTGTGACATTTGAAAGAGGAGATACACTTACCTTAGAAATACTATTTAATTTTCTACTTTTTAATCATCTTCCCATTGCCTTTGACACACAAAAACGTTGGTTGCAGGCTTTCTATTATTATTCTTGTCAGATAAAGAATGAAACATTTTACTTGGGGCAGTGGGTGATAAAGTGGACAGGGCACTGGGCCTGTATTCAGAAAGCCCTGAGTTCAAATCTGGCCTCAGACATTAATTAGCTGTGTGACCCTGGGCAAGTCACTTAACTGGTGTTTGCCTTAGTTTCTCTGTCTATAAAGTGGGGATAATAATAGCATCTACCTCCCAGGGTTACTGTGAAGCTCATATGAGATAATAATTGCAAAGCACTTAGCATAGAACCTGACACAAAGTAAGTGCTATAAAAATGTTTTCTATTTATTATTATTATTATTATTAATAACAATTCACATTTATCTAGGGCTTTAAAATTTACAAAGCATTCTTCTCACAACTTGTAAGAAAGGTCATTCATACAAGAATCATTACTCCTATTTTACTGATGAAGAAATTGAAACTGTGAGAGTTAAAATGACCAGCCCACAGTCACTCATCCAGGAAGTCTAAGGACAAGGGAAGCCCTCAGACTTTTGGTACCCCATCCAGGATTTTCCCCACTATGTCCTATTTCCTCCCTCTGACCCCAGTCATTTTTAAGCTTCTCCTCATGCTTTCTTTTCTCAGTTCACTTTTGCCCCCTGGTTGCTGGGGGGAAAGGGGTCATTTTTTGGGTTGTTTTCCAGTGCTCATAAGAACACTATCATACTATATTAGGTGGACAGCATCTTTTGATCTCATTATAGGGAGAATGAGTTATCATAGCCTTGGAATGCCTGATAATTCCCTTTCTCACTATTTTCTTTCTTGTGACATGTACTAGAACTAGAACAGGCAGCAATGCCCAATGTATTAGTTTGCTTGACAATTTTGACTAGGCATAATTAATGTAGCTTGATCATTTCAGCCAGTAATTGCTTAAGCTGAATAATAGAGCACCAGATTTTTTGCTTCATGTAAGGAGCAGTGGTCTAGTTTACCTGGGCTGGGAGTGACGGAAGAGAAAACTGGAACAAAAGAAGAAAAGCAGAAGAAGGAACATTGAAGATCTCTATGTGGTCACAGGAGCCCTTGGAAGATATAAGTAGTTTGGTTTCCCCAAGCTGATGACATTTAAATGACAGAGAAGTGAAGATCTATTTTGCCTTTAGATGATGGTTTCAAAACCATGAACATTTACCTGGTAGGCTCTTTATTCATCAAATCTATAGATTAGTAAGACTTCTTACCCAAAGCAGGAGTAACTCCTCTAATTTTTATCATTCAGTGCACATACATAGGGTGGCATAGCAGAAAGAATGATGGACTTGGCATGAGAAAACTTCAATTCAAATCCTAACTCTAGTACTTAGCACCTATATAATCTTAAACACAAGGGATCTTAGCCTGATGTTTATTAACTTAGGTTCCCCCTGCTGCCATATTTCAATATGACCAGTTTCCCTTGTTATTTTATATATTTTATGTTACACATCCAAAAACATTATTCTGAGAAAGGGTCCATAGGTTATACCTGACTGCCAAAGGAGTCTGTGACATAATAGACAGGACGATCTCTGTAAATCTCATGACTAGAGTATGGTTTTGGTTTCATGTTTGCCTGTGTGGCTATTTATTTGTCCATCTGCTTATTTATCTATTAGTTTCATCCATCTATTAATCTACTTATTTATTTATCTACTCATATTTGGGGGGGTTGTTTATTGTGTTTTGTTTATTTTTTACTATTTATTTACTTGGAGGAAGCTAGGTAGCATAGTGGTTAGAGTGCTGAGCCCAGCATTAGGAAGACCTCAGTTTTAATGTGGCCTAAAATACTCCCTAGATGTGTGACTCTGGACAATTTACTTAATCTCTTTTACCCTCAGTATTCCCAACTGTAAAATGGAGATAATAATTCCACATCTCCTCCAACATGTACCTCCCAGGGTTGTTGTGACAATCAAATGATATACTATTTATAAAGCACTGAGCACAATGCCTAGCATATAGTAGGTGTATAATAAAGTCTTGTTCCTTCCTCCCTTGTCTTTTTATCTACTATCTATTAATTAATTCTTTTACTTATCTTTCTGCCCATGTAGCCATTTATTTATATATTCATTCATTCATTCATTACTTATACACTGAAGTCATATGTATAATACAACAGGTCTTAACCTGTAGCTCATGAGCTTGTTTTTCAAAAATGTTTTGACAATTGCATTTCAACATAATTGATTTCCTTTGTAATCCTCTGTACTTAATTTTATACATGATTCTGAGAAGGAGTCCATGGGCTTCATTAGACAGCCAAAGGGGTCCATGTCTCACACAAGGTTAAGGCTTCTGGTGCAGTGGAATGAATGCTATAGTGTGAATCAAGAGACCAGCACTCTTTCATTTACTGGTTGTGGTCCTCAGTTTCCCCATTTTTAAGACAAGCTTGAATTAGGTAAGTTCTGATGTCCCTTAGATCTCAGATTCTAAAAAGTCTTTCTTTCCAACGTGGCCAGGTCAATTCACAGCTCCCCCAACAGTTTATTAATTTGTCAGTTTCCCCACATCCTTGCCAGAATTTGTTCTTTTCCTTTATCTGTCGTCTTTGCCAATGTGTTGGGTATGACATAGAATCTCAGCTTTAATTTCCATTTTTAGAGATTTTGAGCATTTTTCATATGGCTGTTGATGACTTGGATTTCTTCTTTTGAAAATTGATTTTTTTGAACATGTATGAATTGGGAAATGACCTTTGTCCTTATAAATTTGAATCAATTTCTTATATATGTTCACAATGGGACCTTTATCAGAGAAACATAATGCAAACATTTTTTTCCTGTTTAGTTCTTTCCCTTATAATTTTAACTGCATTGGATTTGCTTGTGTAAAAACATTTTAAATTTATGTAATCACACAATTAGTAAATGTCAGAGCCAGGACTTGAACACAGATTTTTCAACTCCAAATCTAGTGTTCTTGGCTCTGCACCATGATGGCATAGGGACTCAGAATTATGCTTCTTCTTTAGAAAAAAAAATGGTGGAATTAATAAGAAAAATGTAACATGTCTTGCTGAGATGATGGGAACAAAATAACACAGTCTTCTGTTTGGAAGAAACAAATGTCACTGTACTTTGGAGGGCTTCAGCCAAAGGAAGTAGGAGCTCAGCAGTTTTGTTTTTTTTTGTTTTTTTTTCATGGACAGCTACAGAAAACTGAATCAGCATGAAATCTGCTGTAGTGGAAAATGTTTACTCACCAAGAGGAATTTAATTACATTTGAAATTTTGGTATTGCTGATCTTGGAGCTTTCACAGTTCTTGGAAGTAATAGATACAATGAAAGGAGGAAAAGCAATAATTCTTGAGATGCAGTATGGCCAGAAGACCTAGGTTAGATTTCTGGTTTCCTACCTGTGTGAGTATGGGCAAGTCACTTTTATTCTTTGGGCCTTAGTTTCCTCATTGTAAAATTAAGGAGTTGGACTAAATGATACGGTATACTAGAAAGAACACTAAATTTTGAGTCA